CATGGAATTCGCCAATGCCACAATTAAATTGGCAACAGGTTAGGTTGACAGGTCAGCCTCAAACCCTTCAAAATCCTTCTTATGGATACAATCTGGCCACAATTTTCTCCAAGTGGAGTTCATCATCCTGGAAGTCACTCCCTGCCAAGCCTTACCTGGCCTATGCAGTGGAAGATATTGAAGTGATTCTTCCAGAACTCTCTTAGGGTCAATTCAGTGTCCGAGGTTATGTCAAAGCACCTTTGAAACATTGCTTTGGTGTTCAGCTTTTTGAAGTTTGCAATGATCTGCTGGTCCATGGGCTGGATGAGAGGAGTGGTGTTAGGACATTTGGTTTTAAACAATTGGTCTTCCAAGTCTGGAGGATGAGCAGGAGCATTGTCTATTAACAGGAGGCACTGGAGTGGCAGTTTATTATCCAGGAGGTATTTTTTCACACTGGGGCCAAACACTTCATTAAATCATTCCAGGAAATTTTCCCTTGTGACCCATGCCCTACTGTTTGCCTTCTGCATCACACACAATTTACTCTTGACAGCACTGTTTTTCTTAAACACACAGGGATTTTTAGAGTGATACACCAGTAAAGGCTTCACTTTCAAATCCCCACTAGCATTACCACACACCAAGAGAGTTAGCCTGTCTTTCATAGGCTTGTGTCCTGGGAGTGCCTTTTCCTCCTGCGTAATGTAGGTCCTCTTTAGCATTTTCTTCCAAAACTTGCCTGTTTCATCACAATTGAACACTTGTTGGGGTTGGAACTTTCAGCCTCTACATAACATTGAATTCCTGTACAAATTTTTCAGCTGCTTGTTTATCTGAACAGGCACCCTCGCATTGCCTTACGACACTGTGTATGCCACTTTGCTCCTTGATTTTTTCAAACCAGCCTTTGCTGGCCTTAAATTCACCAACATCAGCACTTGTTTCAGGCAGTTTCTTTAAGAGGTCGTCATGTAGTTTCAGGCAGTTTCTTTAAGAGGTCGTCATGTAACTGTCTTGCCTTTCATAAATAATTGACTGAACAGCACTATCTCTTGCTAACTCTTTTTCTCTGATCCACACCAACAACAATTTCTCTACTTCTTCAATTGTTTGGGATCTCTGTTTGGTTATCGCATTTACCCCTTTTGCAACATCAGCTTCCATGATTTTTTTTCTTTTTCCCACAATGAATGGAGCTGATTGTTGATGGCGTCTTCCCGTACATCCTGCTGAGTTCAGCAATGTGTATGCCATTATCATATTTTCTTAGGATTTTTTTTTTTCATTTCTACGGTGTTTCTCACTTTCTTTACCAAAGTACTGGCACTAGGAGCTTTCTTTGTGGCCATGGCGGCTCATTTAGCAGTCACAATAAACGAGTGGCAAAAACAATGGATTATTGTGAAATATTTCATATGACCATGCAGGATATGTTGACTCGCCGAGAAACAATGCTACACTGGCTGAGAATGGTGTGGAGGAGGGTTTGTCTGTGAGCTGGCACTAGACAGTTCCGTACGATCATTGAAAACGAGGTAATTGACGAAAATGGAGCCAAAAAATCAGCTAAGAAAGTTGGCCAAAACCGAAATCAGCAATAACGGAGATTGATGAAAACGAAGGGTCCACTATACTTTGCACTTCTTTAAAAATAGGGCATTCTATGAATCTAGTCCAGGTGCTGAGTGACTGGGCATGTTATCCATTTCTTTTTTCAAAATCTATTGGATTTGTACTAATATCAGTTAGTTGGTCTGTGCTGCCTTCTGCTGAGTGAAAAATATATTTCTACATTTCCTACCTTGCTGTCATGTAGTGGGTTGCTGAACACTGACCTCATACTGTTCTTTTCGGATTTCACTCATTTCCTGTTCATCGTCAGTAACAGTGGACCCCCACATACCGTACGCATCACATAACGTTCAATCCGCATACCGCCGCTTTTATCGCAAAAATTTTGCCTCGCATACCGCTCAAAAACCCGCTCACCGCTCTTCGTCCGAGACGCGTCCAATGTGCGCCCTTAGCCAGCCTCACATGTGCCGCTGGTGGCATTGTTTACCAGCCAGCCTCCGCGTAACATCCAAGCATACAATCGGAACATTTCGTATTATTACAGTGTTTTTGGTGATTTTATCTGCAAAATAAGTGACCATGGGCCCCAAGAAAGCTTCT